CTCTCTCTCTCATGCACACACACACACACACACACACACACACACAGAGCCCCTTTCCAGTGGTTTGTGATACACACAGACCCATATCCAGACAGGAGGCAGAACACACAGGCCTGACACCCATGTGGTCAGGACCAGAGGCTGGCCGCAGCAAGGTTCCCTTTGTAAGCAAATACCTGATGAGTTCCTCCAAGCTCAACAAGAGAAATGTCGCTTTAATCACCATTCAGCTGGGGCGCCATCTGTTTTTGATTGTTTTCATGTTCACCACCCTTCCCCAGGAGGTAGAGAAGAGGGTCATACCACCAGCTGGCAGTGCTGGCAGCTCCCTGCAAGGGCAGTCAGGCAGAAGGTGCCAGGTTGGTTCATCCTTCAGGATGTGCTCATGTGCAGCCTTCTAAGACCAAAAGTGGAGGGTGACCCCCACTAAAGGCTGCTGAAAACCAGTATGACCACCATCCTGTTTTGGCCTCATTATGGTGGCTGATTTTGTTTTTGAGGTGACAACAGTTTCTTAAGACTATACTGACATTGTCTTATATAAATAACATTGGTAAAAGATGCCAAGAATAAGATACAATCTTCCACTCTGACTTTGGCAACCGGCTTGTGAGGTAACATGAACAAACCTCAGAAGACAACAACAAACAGTTTCACAGCTTTAAAAAGGGATAGATTTAAATGAGATAAATTGAGCCAGGGAAACTGTTCAGTGAGTAAAGGCATTTGCCACCAAGCCTGACAACCTTTGATCTGGGGACCCAACAAGTGGAACTGATTTCTGCAAACTGTCCTCTGACCTCCACATGTGTGCTGTGGTGCAAAACCCATCACCCAAATAAATAAGTGTAGTTTTCAAAACAAACAAATGTCAAAACTGGTGAAAAAGAAAAAAGGTATTATTACTCATAAATGAACTAACTGCAGTCTTTTAAACTGACTTTTTTTCTTCCTCCCTTCATTTTCTTTGTTTTTATTTTTTATTTTTTTGAGACAGGGTCTCACTATGTAGCTTTGGCTGTCCTATAATTTGCTATGTGGAACAGGCTTGCTTCTGTCTCCAAGTTCTGGGAACTTGTACCACCATGCCTTTAACAAACCAACTGGTGGCATGTCTGAAGAGCAAAGAGAAGACATGAGATGCTCTTCTGGGACCTACAATTCCTGCTACAGGAACTTTATCCCAAGGAAAATATTCAAAAGATTGGAGATACCTGTATTAGGCTATTTATTGTTGAATTATTTTAATGCCTGATGTCTTCAAAGGTCTTTTAGAAAACTGAGCAAAGTTAAAGGCATAAAATCTGCAGGTGATTCAGCCATCGACAATCAGACTATTAAGTAATATTTAAAACTATGTCAGGCACAGGTAAAAGCCTGACAGGCTCTTAGCACTGAAAGTAGAAGAGGGCATGGGCTCCACATAACCAAGAAGCTATCAGCAACTGATACCCACGAGCAAAGGGAACATCAGTCTTCTCTAATGGAGTCTCCCTGGGATATCAACCACACCCCAGGGCAGGCCCCATGCCCAGGAGTTTAAGGCTGACCAGAAATAAACTCCATGGCTTTTGTGTGTTGCAGGGGCACTTTTTGTTTCATTTTGTTTTGTTTAGACACTGTTTTGTCTTATTGGTCTTACGATTATTTTGGTTTTCATTTTTATGGTGTTTGGGGGGTAAGAGAGAGAAAGAGCAAAACATTTTGTGGTTAGGGAGGTAGGGGGGATCTAAAGAGGAGTTGGGGAAGGAGGGAACTATCAAAATGTATTGTGTGAAAATGTTTTTAAATTAAAAAGATAATTAAAAAAATAAAAATAGGCCAAGTATGGTGGGACACACCTTTAATCTCAGCACTTGAGAGGCAGAGGCAAGTTTAATCCCAGCCTGTTCTAGGACAGTCAAGGCTCCACAGTGAAACCCTGATGCGCCCTGACTCGGGGATGGATAGATGGATGAATAGATGTATAGATAGATGGACAGATGGATGGATGGATAGATATAGATAGATATCCAGATAGATATAGAAAGATACATACATAGATGATGGATGGATAGATAGATAGATAGATAGATAGATAGATAGATAGATAGATAGACAGATTGACTGATAGATAATAGGTAGGTAGGTAGGTAGATAGGTAATAAAAATAAGGACTATGCCTGGAGCATTGCTTGGTGGGAGAGCACTTGCCTAGTTTGTGTAAATCTCTGGGTTTAGTCTCTAGGACTGGAATCACTCAAAGAAAAACTGTAACAAACAAGAAATATAAGGCACTGCTTATAGCAATGCAAATATATGATTATGAATAAAGAACAGAAGGGAAAAATGAAAATATAACTCAAAAGCTGAAAGCTTTAATAAGGATTTTTTATGCTTATTTCTTGTATGTGTATGTGGTGGGGTTGGACACTGCAGTGAATGTGTGAAGGTCCGAGGACAATTAGCAAGAGCGGGATTTTACTTTCTACTATGTGGGTTCCATGGCCAGAACTCAGGTCATCAGGTTTGGTGGCAAGTGCCTTTTCCCACTCAGCCATCTCCCTGGTCCCCAAACACTGACATTTTTGTGGTATTACTCAAAGGAGTTCATCTTTAGTCTGAATTGGCTAGTGGGGGACATTCCAAGCAATACCACCACATTTAGTATCTGATTCTCCTAATTGCTGGCGGGGGAGGGGAGCACTCATTGGTTTTCAATATAAACCACACTATTATTCACAGTTTCCAGTCTCTAGTTATGGCTTTAAATGGCTGGCTTGTACTTTTACGTTCAAGATTGCTACAGATGTACATGTTACAAATTGGCTGCATGCAAGAACACTGAGAATGGAGCCATTGAGATGACTCAGCAGGTGAAGGCACTTTTGGCCAAGCCTGACGACCTAGGTTCGAAACCTGGAACCCACATGGTGGAAAGAAAAATCAGATTCTCATGTTCTCTTCCTCCTTCCACATATGCATTGTGACATGTATGCACTCATACATGCATGCACACAGTAAATGAAAATATAAATTGACAAACAGATAAATGTTTTAAAAAACGTAAAGGATGTATTCCGCTCTCTGGCTCTCCTACCTGTACTGCAAGGCGAGCCTCAGTGCTGTGGCGTTAGATTCGTATTTTCCCACCAACATGCTCATCCTCTCGGCGTTGCTTTTACATTCTTCCAGAGTTATGGTGAGGAGATCATTTTGGGATTTGAGGTGCTCAATCCGGCTACAAAGAAAGAGACACTGATTTCACACGCCTGGACTGTGAGCTGACATTTTCTTGTCTCCCTGACACGTAGGCTGGAGAGTCATGTGAGGATAACATGGCAGGGGGAGTACCAGCAGATAAAGTGCTTGCCATGCAAGCATGAGGACCTGTGTGTAGATCCCCGCACAGGAATGGTGGTGTGCATCTGTAAGTCTGGGGATGCAGAGATAGTGGGTGGGGGCAAGAGTCAAGCAGCTTCCCAGAGATTGCTGGCCAGCCAGCCCAGCCAGTGGGTGAGCTCAGGGTTTGATGAGAGGTCCCATCTCAAACACTAAGGTGAAGAACAATAGAGGAAGATGACTAATGTCAACTTCTGGCTTCTACACACATGCACAGGTGAGTACACACATGAGCACATACATATAACACAGACAAACATACGCACATGGATGCATATATAGAGATAACACACAGGTGATATGGGAGGCTGGAGACACAGCTCAGTAAAGTGAAATGCTTGTGGCAAAAGCAGGAGGAGCTAAGTTCAATCCACAGCACCCACTTAAAAGCCAGGCAAAGTGGTGTTGTCTGTCATCCTAGCCCTGGGGAGGTGAAGAAAGGGGGAAGCTATGGAGTTTGCACTGCAGACAGCCTAACCAAACTGGCGAGCTCCAGACTCAGGTAAGAGACGCTGCCTCATGAAAAGAAGGTGGAAGAGTGATTGAGAAAGACACTTGGTGTTTACCTTTTCCTCCACACATATACACACAGATGCACATGAACTTGTATACACAAAACACACACACACACACACACACACACACACACACACACACAGATGATATGGCATTGTTGGTCATTTTAGCAAGTATTAACTGACACAAAAAATCACTAAATTCAGTGTGGATCAAAAATAAAAACGAAGGGCTGAGTATAGTGGTATATGCACAACTTTAATCCCAGAATTCAAGAGTTAGGTGGATCTCCTTAGGTTGGAGGCCAACTGCTCTACCCAGTGAGTTCCAGGACAGCTGTGACTATGTAGAGAGACCCAGACTCAAAAACCAAAAGATGACAACAACAACAAATTAAACTGCTACCCAGCTATGCTTTGCCTATGCCAAGCTATGCTTTGCCTATGCCATGTGTCTGTACTGTGTGAGGCCATGGCTCCAACACTAAGGAAAGCACCAGCTCTGGCACCCCATAGCCCTTCAGAGTAACTCCAACTACGCTGCAACAAGCCACAATGCATGAGGCAGTAAACCACACCGTGGAAATAGAGGTTGCTGTTGGCTGAGCCTTTGCTGGGTCATCCACCCAGCAGCCTGCCCAATCAGGTGTGATCACCCCTGCCACCCAGATGAGGGGATACAGATATTGAAAGGTCAAGGTCCTTGACCTGGAACTTTACGAGGCTGGTCAACTCAGATCCTGTGCTCTTAACCACACACCAAGGAGCACTAGCAAAAGGTTAATCAGTGAGCAATCTGGAAAATGCCACCAGGTTGTCCCTAAGTGGGAAATGGAACGGGGTATCCTTCTGTACACTGTGAAGATGTGCTGCTCTCATTGTTAATAAAAATCTGATTGGCCAATGGCTAGGCAAGATTTTCAGGGCAGAGAGAATGCTGAGGAATCACCATGAGAGACAGAGCAAGCAGGATGGAAGTTCATAGATGAGGTAAATGAGTCTGGGACAGCACATAGATTAATAGAAATGGGCTAATTTAAGTTGTGAGAGCTAGCTAAAAGAAAACCTCAGCTATAAGCTGGGCATTTATAATTAATATTCAGTTTCTGTGTGGTTATTTGGGGACTAGCCAGCAGGAAAGAAAAGTCCATTTACAGGGACCTGTGACCATGTCCAAAGAGCCTTCTAGGGTGGATGTCCAGCAATACTAGTGATTGGTACAATCAGCAGTAAGAACGTTGAGGTTTATATTGGATTCACAACTGTATATTCCAAACAATAAATTTGAGGAGAAGTCAGAAAACAAATGTAAACCCTTGAGCTTTTCCATTTTCTGTACTAAAACAGCTGGGTGTGGTCATTCATTTTCCACAGAAGCCACTCTTTTGTAGTCTACATAGCAACAAGTCTTCAAGAGACTTGGGATTTACCAACTGCAAGAGATTCCTGAGGGTGATGGGGTGTGGAAGCCACTGTCCTTGAGCGTACATTTTAGATGAGCATGGAGTTGCCTATAGGGGACATATCTTCTAGAAGAGTAATGCAGATTCCTATGGGTCATAGTGAGTAAGGTATTAGAAACACATGCTTTTCTGCCTTTGTTCATTTTTGGCTTCTTTCAATGGTCCCTACTCACTCATTTATAATTCCAGTGTAGTGATCCCTGCTAAGTAGAAGCCATTTACCCCACTACTGACCTCCATGTGGCTGAGTGTAAACCATCTCTGCCTGAAATGCCTTCCTCATTCAGGTCAGCACACCCCTGCTGGTCTTCTGACTATAAAGGCTGAAGGTTGGTGTTTCCTGTGGCTCAGGCTTGGGTCCCCATCTTCTGCCAACACTCTCCTTAGGGGGTGATTCTATCCAATCTGTGACTCCCAAGAGGCATTCCTGTTTCCATGGCTTCCAGTCTTTTCTAGCCCACACCTCCCTCTGAGTGTCAGTCCCACACATCAGCTGCCTCGTGGCATTTCCATTTGGGGAGGGTCGCACACTTCCTCCAGTTAACAGTGAAGGGGGTGCTTACTTTTCTTCAACCTCTCCTTCACCTTCCCCATATTTGTAGTCACCACCACCATTCACCTAACATCACAAGCTAGTACGGGAGCATGCCCGAGACCCTTTCTTGCAGCCAGACCTAATGTGGCTGAAGCTTCTCATATTCTGAACCCATTATGTTCTGTGTCTCCTGGCCCATCACAGCCATCGCTCTGCTCCCACTCTTGCTATCCTTTACCTCTAAGCTCCAGAAGGCAGAACAGGTTTTGTTCTTCCCATTTAAAAATGCCTTCTAACTATATTTAGGCTAAAGAGTAAAATCTGCTATGGAATCTGAATCTGCATCCATGCCAGCCCCTGTCTGGTACCCTGCCTTGCTTCCTGTACATCCTCCAGGCCCCATTGTCCCAGCCCTGCTGGTCTTCATATGGTTCCTCCTTTATATCACCTTTGTCCAGCCTGGAGGCGAAGACTCTTCCAGCCTTGTCATCATTGCTTCCTTTCCCTTAAAACCCCAACAGAAACCTTCCTTCTTTAGAGACACCTTACCAGACCCCTGTCAAAGAACAACCTCAGGCAAGAGACATAGCTCAGTTTTAGAATGGTTGGAAAGCCCGTATAAGGTCCTGGCTTTAACCTCCGGCATCCAAAGTGACAACAATAACAAATAAATAACTCTTGATTCCTAAGGGGTCCTGGAAACATCTTTTCATCTATATTTCCTAACAGAATATAAGCTGCATGAGATCAGGGGCTTTCTCTGTTTTGATTTGCTTTTCATGCCACATATTCTAGTACACAGTAGGTGCTGAATACAGATGTGCACATGAGTAATTACAGTTTGGGGTAGGTATGGTCCCCTACCCCAAAGAAGTCTGAGCCAAAGGCTAGCATTTTTTAAAAAGACTATTAGGCCTTTAATGTTGAGACAATCAAATAACAGTCATTAGGACATAGTGTTTCTAAGAAGCTCCAGGTTCCAGGCCACAGCTATGAATGAGCACAGGACAACAGGGTGAGAGCAAAGGGCAGGGTCTGGAATTCTGCCTTTGTTAAATAGATGCTCTGGACTTCACTGCTTAATTTTCAACTTCAAGGCCTTTATTTTTTTCTTTTTCATTTGTAAGAGACTAGCCTTATCCTCACAAGTTGGACATGAAGAGGTTTTCTGTGAGCATCCATTGTGAGCTGCTCACCACATAACCTGAGCTTCAAGTACTAAATAGTACCCCTTTCTTTGTTCTCTCCTGGGTGCATATTACTGAGAAGAAAGGTGCCTCCCCCAAGTTCAGCAACAAAGAAGACCTTTGAAACCCAGAGAAGAGATCTTCAGCTAAAGGCTAAAGACATACGGGCATCGGGCCCTCTGAAGGCATATGGTTTCATTCAATCGCAAAGGGCATATTCTGGTCTGTGCACTTTGAGGCCAGTGCAGAAAAGTGCTTCTGCCTTGCTTCTAGGTGATCATCTGGACTGGAACTGTAAAGCACCTGGGATTTAATAAGGAAACCTTTTAAGTTCAAGATTTAAAATAGATGGGGCTGGAGAGACGTTTCAGCAGTTAACAGACATACTGTTCTTGCAGTGGATCCAAGTTCGATTCCCAGCACCTATGCTGGGCAGCTTACAAGCTCCGATAGCTCTAGCTCCAGGGAGCTCTGATGCCTCTGGCCTCCACAGGGACCTGATACTCACGTGCTCATATGCACACAGACATAGAAACACATGTGTTAGTTTAAGAAAATAATCTTTAAAATGACCTAGGCCACCACATTTCCTTTGTTCTCCAGAACAGAAACAGCTTCATATCAGGGAGGAGTAACAGGCTAGCTTGACACGCACAAGAGGAATGGAATTCAGCAATGGTAGATGGGAGTTAGTGTTCACATTCCTTCTTTATTAGCTTAAGAGCCTTCCAAACTCTTCCTATGCTCCCACAAAAGACTGCTAAGTCAAGGCAGCCACATCATTCTTGGAGACTGTTGAACAGCCATTCTGTTGTCATGGAATAGACTCTGAGTCAGTGTGGTTAGCGGGTTTGGCTATGGTACTACTTAGCTTTTGAAGCAGCTCCCTCATATTACACTCAAGCTTGTCTTTGCCAAGAGGCAAGAGTGCATACTACAATTGTCTATAGCAAGAGAATTGGGAAGAATCGATAAAGCTGTTATATGGCAAACTTAACCAGTTGGGACAGGATGTAGGGACATCCTATTTCTGCTTGGGCATAAAGAAAACCAGTCAACCCTCAGAAAAAGCAGGGAATTAGAGCAATATGTGGGGCCGGTGCCAAGAATGGCTCCAGCACATTGCCTTTGCTCCTTCTGGCAAACACAAGCAGCCCCAGACACTGACTCAACATTCCAGGGCTTCCCACTGTGAACTGCAGCACAGGCCTGTAGAATTGGCAACCATCTATGACCTACTTGACATGTTCTGTGGATTGCTCCCAAGACTTGATACATACTTCACAAGGTCCAAAGTGAAATAAGAAGGTGGGGCCCCTTGTTCATACATTATTAAGGACTTAGAATAGTAACAGCAGAGTCACACAGTGCATCTGTGCAACCTTCCTAAGCACGAGTCCCCATGTGAATGTGTGTCCCAGCCCCACGAAGTTCACCCTGACTGCCATAAGCTCTACTCCATCTCAATCCCACTAGCCTGGCCATCTCTACCATAAGCCAACTTAGATGAACCTTTAGAAAGTGAGCAGCTCCCATGCCCAGCCCATCCCCTATGAAATGCATCAGATTGCTCTCACCTATTCAATCGTTCTGTTTCCACCTCGAACTCTCTAATCTTGCTTTCAGAGATGGCAGATCCATGTGAGTAGAGGGTTTGGAAAATTTCCTGGATATTGGAGCAGTCCTGAAGTGAGTGGGCCAGGTGTTCTGCCACACTGCTGGAAACCTGTACAAATGGACATAATTCCCTCCAGAGATGCCAAGTCAGTGACACTGGTCCCCAGGCACAGTTTACAAATGCGACAACTTAAAGGCAAGATTCTTTAGGAATTTGGTGACAGTTACCCTTCTGAGCTTCATGGGTCTTAGTTGGTATAATTGGGGCATTAAAAGCTAACCGTGAAAGCATTCTATGAGACACAATCAGCCCACAGCTATACCTCCTAGGTGATGCTACGAATCAGCAAGCAGGGGGAGATCTGTTCTCTTAGAATCCTGAAAATCCTAGACATTAAATACAGTCTGGGCTTCCTTCTCTTACTCTAGACTCCTGACATTCTATACTCATACCTTCTGGTGACGGTGGCCCAAAAAAGAAACTGTTCCCTTTACCCTCACACTTTGGTTTGGATACAGAATCTGAATGCATGTGATGTTTTGCTCAGTGTAAAACTTCAAGTTAGGAAATGGAAATGAATCTGGGGGTTGTTTCCTAGGTTCCTTCCTCTTGCCCTAGGATCAACCAGCTAGCTCTCCCAGCTTCATGTCTACTCCTAAAACATACTCCTTAAAGAACCAAAACTCTTCCCTTGTCATCTCACCAGTCATCAGTCTTACCCCCTGGAGATTACAGGCTTTAGCTAGGAAGCCTCTCATACCAATCAGGCAGGTCCTGTCCATTCTCTGCTAGCCTTGGGCCACACTTCAAAACCAGCATTCCCCATCCCTGGACAGTACGTTCCCTTCAAGATGCATGTGCAAAGACACAGTTCTTTTTGCGTTTTGCAACTTCCTGGGTCTCTGTCAGGCAAGGTGATGTAAAGCAGATACTTCAAGACATTCAATGGCATCATACCTAAATACATGAGATTTCTTCTTTGGAAGAGTCCAAGTGTGTCAGGGATGGGGTGTGGTGGGGTGGAGTGGGAGGAGATATCCCTTGAGGCTGAAGTAGCAATTCACCATTTAGAAATTTTACAATATTTTACTTTGCCTTTGTGGAATGAAACCGGTATGATTTATTATATAACTAACTGATGAACTGGAAGTGAACAACCACATGTCTGGGAGCCATGGTCTGTGCAGCTGTTTTGGTTTCTTTCTTTCCTTACCCCTTGCTGACACTTACCCCAATGCTACTGATTTCTGATCCCAGGACTGGCCCATCAGATGATGAAGATTCAGATCTGGTCTTTGATAGCTTCACTCTCTCAGCAATCTTTAAAAAAAAAAAAAGAAAGAAAGAAAAAGATCAGAAAGTCCACACCACTCCCCCACATAAGTTAAGTCCATGCTTACACAACTTTTAGCCTTGTCAACTAAAGTGATTCCTCAAAACAATTCATTGGTTCAACCCTGCTACCATAAACCTGAAATGGGGCTTCTCAACGTCAGCACCTTTGGGGCTGGACAACTTGGGAGGGGAGAGCCGCCCCCCCCACTGCAGCATCTCTGGACTCTAGCCACAAGATGCCAGTAGCACTCCAATTGTAACCATTCAAAATGTTCCTCAGGGACAAAAATCAGGTGTAGTCAAGAAACCATGGTTTCACCTAACTTACTAAATGGCTCAGAAACAGCTTCATTGTGGAGACTATCAGGGCTGCCAGGCAGGAAGACACCTGCCATTTGTACCACCTGACAGGTTCTTTTCAGAAGATTGATTGTACAAAAGCATTGTATGCTGTGGCAAGGAACAAGTGGTTAACAATGAATTTCTTTTCTTTTCTTTTTTTTTTTGTGACAGTGTCTCACTATGGACCCCTAGATGGCCTGGAACTCAATGTGATCCTCCTGCCTCTGCCTCCTAGCTTGAATTACAGGCCTCTAACTCCACACTTAGCTCTGTGATGTTTTCTTTTGCTGACATAGCTGTCAGTTTTCTGAGAGGGAAAATCATTGCTTTATCACTTAGGGTCCCCTAAGGGCTGAATCTTAATTCCTTGAAAGCAAGTACCCATTCACCTCTAGGTTGCACTTGACAAAACTCTCCACAAAGCTCTGTCAGCTGTGACATTTTCCAGCAGGCTGATTAATGAGAGCTGCTATACAGGTTGCAAATAGGAGAGACTTAAACCTATTAGCGGGTTATCTCTCCCTACAGCCTGACTTGGGAGAGTTGACACTCAGTCCCAGGGGAAGTCCCTAGAGTATACGCATTGGTATGACTGCAGAATGGTGGGCTCAGCCACAGCTGGGGTTTTCAGATAAGAAGATTTCCCACCGCCAAGACTCATCCCTGGGAGCTCACCTTGGCGATGGGGATGTCATTGCTGCTACTGCTGGTGCTTAGCTCTCCAGTGCTGGGGTTAATCGGGCGATTGGCAGAAGTGAGGCGACCAGGGCTAGAAGGTCCAGTGGCCTGGACACTCTGCAGTCGAGTTTGGAGCTCTCGGACCTGAAACCATAATCCCTTTAGACAGAGTTGGTCGTTTCTCAGGTTAAAGGGCAAAAGAGCCAGACAGTCAATGGCAAAGTTTCCAGTTGTAATGCTCAGCTGGTCAAGCACACTGAAGCCACTGTACCCATAAGAGGAGTCACTGTTGACCAATCATCTGTTATTTACTAGCAGGAAGGAGAGCATGCAAATTGAGCAATTGATGCTCCCAACCCAGGGGGAGGATTGTTCATATAGCAGAGAAGCACCTGATGCTGCTGTTGTCAGTGCAGATAAGGATGTGATCTCTAGTCTTACGGAAACTCAGGGTCCACGCAATAATAGCAAACAAGTCTTAACACGCATGTACAAACCTTAGAAACATCATTCCCAAGTACTCCAAGACAGCAGAACTTGGAAAGACTGTGCCTCCACCTGAAGTGACTCCAGAGTATGAAAGGAGGCATGCACATGATAGGAGAACTGGGCTCCACAGGAGAATGTCAAGGGTGGGCTTAGCAGAGACACCGCTGGGGTAGTATGGGGTCATGGAATTCTATGCACAGTGTCTGGGAAATATGTGGTACTGCACAAACTGTTATTAGAGACCAAGACTTTGGGAGAGGTGAGGCCAGAATGGAGTGATAGTGCAGGAACCAGCAGCTTTCCTCCAAACAGCCAAGGCTAGGAGCTTCCCTGCTCCAGTGGGAAGAAGCATCTAAATAGCTGAAGCATAAAAACTCAGTGGTTAAGAATACTGGCTGCTCTTCCAGAAGACCAGGGTTCAATTTGAAGCACCCACATGGAGGCTCATGACTATCTGTAACTACAGTCCCAGGGGACCAGATGCCCTGTTCTAGCCTACATAGGCACTAGTCACAAATGTGATGCACAACCATACATGCAGGCAAAACACCAGTAAGTATAAAATTAAAAACGAAATCATGACAAATTAATACCACAATGAATATCTAAATCTCATTTATCTGTGGTTACTACTCTGTGACCTCCAAGGGGAGAACGATCCCAGTAAATGGACACAGTTGCTACCTTTCTGATAAACATGGGCACACTTTAATCAGCAGGGTACAAGGACTGTTACTATACTCACTATGCAGCCAAGGGAACCTTAAACTTCTGATTCTCCTGTCTCTACCTCTTGAATGCTAGAATCACTGTGAGGTGCTGTCTGGTTTATTATACTTCAGGTTGACTATAGCACCCAAAAGTTCTTATGATACAAGCATCAGATTCGGTCAGCAAGAAGACACATTTGCCATTTAGAGTATGGTTTACCAGATCCCCCTTATAGGGCTAGTCAAGAACCTAGATGGCAGAGCCCCAGCCCAGTGGTTTAGATTAATCAGTACTGCAAGAAGCCAGGAATATGTATATCTAATGAGCTCCTCACAGATGTGAATGCTGGATGTCAGGGAAACACACCCTGAGTGCCTGACCCAAGTCTACAAAGCATTATGGCCTCACAGATAGGCAGAGCAGAGCTTAAACCCCTGTGCCAGGCCCTGCTGCCACAGCCCTTCCAGGCAAGGGCAGAGCCCCCCCCAAGAGCTTCTCATAGAAAGCTTTCATATTGAATGTCTGGAATATCTCTACCATGCTATCTTGGGAACTAAAAGTAATTGAAATTTCAATAATTCATCAACATATTATAAGCCAAAATAGGGAAATTCCCTTGGAGCAAATTGCATTCAATAGTGAAGCCGATCAAAAGAGCCTAATGCTTTGCTGTGGCTTCCAGGAGGTGGGACTTGCTGGAAATGTGCAGTGTCCTCACAATATAACAGACACAGGGGCCAAAACAGAGTGCAGACTGGGCCACATCAAAACAGGGTGCAGACTGTAAAGACACATGTCTGCGAGAGTCAAACAGAATTCCTGATGGGAGATTTTTCTGGAATAGTTCCTAACAAACCAAAGGCAGTGTCACTGTGGGGATTTATTAGACCCACTCTGCAGAGAGCAAGGGCCCATGCTACCAGTATGTTCCCAGGCAGCTTCCCTGTTGGAGTCTGTGAGGTCCTGAAAAATTAACAAAGTTAACATCATTCTAAAACTTACATTCAGTATACAATCAATGGCCTACTCCTAGAGCACCAGTCAGCCCACTCATCTTGGTTGGTTTGTTTGGTTGCTTTGATTTTTAAAATCGGGATCTTATTCTTTAGCCCAGGCTGGCCTTGGATCTTATAGCAATTGCCCTGCATCAGTTTCGCCAGTGCAAGGATTCAGGCATGAACCACCATGGTTTGCTTTTGAAAAATACAAATAGTCCTAGCAAATATACTAAAACACTATTAAAAACGACCTATGTTTTAGAAATGTTTGCCTTCCTAACCACAAAAGTACTGAATGTTAACTATGGAAAAGCTAAGTAGCACAGCAAATTAAAACAGAAAAGGTTTGTATGCCCCTTCAAACTGCTCCCAGACAATTACTTTTAGTCATTTCCCATATGCATTCATGTGCTTAAATAACTTCTACAACTAACATTTTCATTTTAAAAGCTGGGGACCCTATGAAAATTAAAGGATGACAAACACCTTCCTTTTGGACTTTGCCTTATTTCTTAATGATAGTGTTCATCAGTAGGCAAAAAACCAGCTGAAGGGTGTGTAGTCAGCTATACAGAAAGAAGGGCAATTGGAAGGAATACAATTTGGGGTGAAATTAAATGACCCCAAACCCAGAACTGAAGGATACCTGATAAACCAAGTTAGCATAGGCAAGGACTGGGAGGCAAGTAGACAGCTGTCAGAGATCTCCTAATCACTCTTCCTGTGTGAAACAGCTGGATTGGGAGTCCTTCAACAATGACATCTGAATTTGACATCATACCTGCTGATGTGGCTTTATTTCAGAACAGACTCTGTAGACTGGATGACACTATGGATCTCTGAGATCAACCTGGACTAAGCTTAGAGTGGACTCCAGCTGAGGCAGAGATTTGAAACCCAGTGAAGGCCAGAAGGAGGGAGATGAAAAGAGAATGGTTGCCAGTCAAGAGCTCCGAGCTTCAGGAGTTGAAAGAAGCAACAAAGGTGGCTCCTTTCCAGATGTAGAGAAGGTTTGTTTTCTCTACAAAACCTGGGTTTGTGTTTTGTTTTGTGGTGTGTGTGTGTGTGCGCGCGCGCGCGCGCGCTAGGAAAACCAGATATCACCCTGACAACCCTTCTGAATCGGGTTCCTCAGCCACAGCCCGACCCTGAGAGGCTATTTTCTCAATTCTCTTAAACTCAGTACATAGCTCTTGCCCATGAAGATGCAGGGAAGTTGATCTGCTCCAAACATTGGAACTCTGGCAGTGTATAAGGTATAACGTAGGGTTTTTGGCTTGGAATCTATCAAACATGATGGGAATTCCACTCCTAAGTGGTGTTCAACAGGGAGCATCAACTGCAGAGGGGAAAGGCATCTCTTTCCCAGTGCAGGGTGAAAAGACAGCAGACTCCTTCTTCTTCTGGCTCTTATTTAAGGGTTTGGGGCTTGTTTTGTGTTGATGAGAGTAACAGAAGAGAAAGGACCAGAGCAAAGGGGAAGAAGATAAGAACTCTACTGATTGTGGGATGAGAACAGCGAAGGGGGAATAAAGCCTGCTGTTAAATGTGCTCTACCACCCACCCACATGCATAGGGATTAGTCCCTCCACACATGGATACCCTGGTGAGTATGAAGGTAAAACTATCTTCAGACAGACTTTCCTGTAGTGACAACAGTGTTCCACAGCAGCCATGTCTGCAGTGGTAGCACTGATGCATAGGGTTATCCTGCAAGCACTTGCGGTGTGCCTAGTTTACCCAGGGAGATGAATTTTAAATTGTGTCTGATTGGAATTTATTTAAATTCAAACTTGGATAGTTGTTATGTGGTTAGTTGCTACTGTACTGGACAGAATAGCTGTAAATATTCAAGATAATGAAACAGTTGTCCATACTTGAAGCTGGGTGACATCATAGATCACGATATATCTCAGTGCAGGGGACAGACACACACACACACACACACACACACACGTACACACACACACACACACAGCCCTTCCTACCTCCCAGTCTCAGAGAGAACACTCAGGGCTATATAGGGAGACCCTGTCTTAAATAAATACATAGATTTAAAAAAAAAAAGCTGAAGGAAGCTGATCAGAGATAAAGGCATACAGGCATACAGTGAGGAATTCTGGGTGTGGCTAAAACAAAACAGAGAG